CAAAGTCAAACTCTTAATAGTATAAAAAGTCAACCCCCCTTTATTCCTCCTTTATATCAACAAAGGCATTGGCATGGCTCCAACGTACAACAATCTACTTTTCAATAACAAGGATCATTTCATGGCAATGGACTACACTAGCCTCCTCCTTAATAACAAAGGTTTTCCTCATGGCTTTGGCCTACACTAGCCTTCTAATACACAGCAATGATCATGTCATGACTTTGGTCTACACCAGCCACCACTTTACCAAAAATTACACCAAACTTCTTTTCCACAATAAAGATAGTACTGACGTGACTAACTTAAAATAACCTAAGGTGGTATGAATCCAATGTGTCTATTCAGTAAGATAAATAGTGGTATGCCTTTGATTTACAAAATCCATAATTTAGCAGCAAGCAAAGTGAGCTTGGCGCCTCAATGGTCCTGATCTTAGTTGATCAATGAACCTGACTGTAAACTTGGATCAGCAAATAGCTATATTATTAGAAGACTAGCCCCACCCTAAACCAAGTACCAGCCAAACCATCTCAACTAGTCCTGGCCAGCTAAGTTCCTCCACTAGTTCAAATTCAAACATATCCATAAAAGGCTGCTTCTAGGAGCTGCAAACCTCGAGTGAAGCATTCACCTCTTATTTGTTGCTTGTTTGAGCAATCCAAACCCCCAAATGTCCCATATATGTTCTATACCATAGTTCACAAGAAAAGATATAGAAGGAACAAAACAAAACAAAAAAAGAAAGCTCAGTCTGAAATCATCTATTTTGTTTGTCCATATTTTAGAACAGGCGCAACATTAAATATTAAAAAGAAAGCTATAAAGAATCATGATCTAAAAACAGCTTATGAGCCTCAGGACATATTTATAATCAGTAGATTTCACATAGGCATCTGGATGAGCAGAACAAAACCTGAAAATTTAATTTTCAAAACTAACAAATGAATATTACACTGACCTGTAAACTGAAGTCAGAGCTCTCGCAATGCCCATGCACCCGTACAAATACAAACATTCCTGGGCAAGTAAATAAGGACAAATAAGATGCAGTTGAAATAGCTCTTCGCGCTGAGGTATGGTTTATCTCATAAATTCCTTTAACCATCTTTCATATGACATGATTAGATAGTTAGTTATGCGGCTCACAAAAATGCACGCATATCACAAATGAGAAACTATTTCGAATTATTCTAGTCAGGGGTTAAGATCCAACACTTTCTAGCTGCTTGTAACAATCCATACAAATTTTCAATCATCAGTTTTCTCTCCCCAGCCCTGCAACCTTCACCAGCTCCCCCCACCACTACCAACTCTCAAAGCGCTTTAGTGCTAGGCCGTGTCAAGAAAAATGCACAAGAAATTTCTTATGGTTTTGGATATCTCAGGCTGACCAAGACATTAAAAAATGTAAAGATTAAACATTCTCTGTCAGGCTTATAACCAGCATTGATAGCATTAGAAGCAACAACATATGCATATTAAACCAAAAATTGTTGAGGAAAAAAAATAAACTGTCATCTCGTTTGCACTAATGAAAGCTTCGTGTAAACAAGGGAAAACATGAAAACAAAACTGCATAAAATGTAACTTAGGGTCTATTTGGGGCACTGCAGCTTATCCAACTTAGATCAACAGCTGATCTGGATAAGCAGACTGGTTGTTTGGTTTGTGCGTTTGGAAAACAACTGATTTGCAGCTGTTTCTGGATAATTAATTATTCTGCCTCTGTGCATATATTTTAATTTAATTTAGTCATTTTATATAAAATTTAGAATTAATTTTAATTTAGTCATTCCTATTCAATTATAGTTCAATAAATTAATTTATAATTAACATATGATAATTCATGAATTAAGCGTTTGTTAGTATTTATTAAGTTAATTTAAAATAAATTTTATAGGAATAAATTAAATAAATAAATGCTATCAAATAGTTAATTTTAATTAATAAATAAATTCTATTGTTATAAGCATAAACATAAAACTTAAAGCATATAATTCACAAATTTACATATTAAATTTACATATTATTTACTTAAATCATATAATTTACTCAAATAGTTAATATTAATTAATAAATAAATTAGCTCCTTCCTCTGCTCAGGCTCCGATTCATCGCAGCACTATTCGCTGGAAACACGATGGAAACTTGCCGGAGGAAGAAGAAAGATGGGAGTTTTGAAGGGCTTTGTAAGCCGCGATCCCGTTGTTGCCTTCCCAGCTGGCTCTAATCGCGATCGTATCGCTAGGGTTTCGATGACGAAGGCGAGATTTTTTTGGGCGGAATCAGGAGGAAGGGGAAGTGGACAAGGGTTTTTGGGCTGAGCCGAAGGAAGGCAGTAGACAAGCGAAGAAGAGGGCAACAACGTCAAATGCATAACAAAATGTGGAACCGTGGGGCTTCACTTGCGGTGGGCGTTTAATTAAATAGTGAAACGAAGTTTTCAAATAAACTTTTCAAACTCATTTTTCAAACAATAAGACAGCGTTTTCAAAACGCCGCTGCAACTGATAAGCTGCCCTAAACGCACCCTTAACCATGTTACTTAACAATGCAAAAGTATAAACCATGCATGAAAAAATAAGATATAATCTGCCTAATAAATACAAGCATATCAAACTACTAAAAGAGTATAAAATTCTAGTGGAGGAACATTGAGGTTTGTCATTAATGCCTCATTTATCTACCTTCCACACGACAACCAGTAGTATTCTTATTACTGTCTCAGAAATAAAATTTCTAAAAGTTAAAGCATTAAGGAATTTGACAATGTGCATGGCAGAAGAAAGTTTCCTATAAAATGGAGTACACCGTATTCATAATATCAGATAAAGTCCGCTAGAAACCAAGTGAAGCAGTTGGCCTAAGTTTTTTCAGCAGAAAACAATACAATTTAAGAAACTATTATCAATAATGCAATTAAAGAAAGTTAAGCATATTTTTAAATTGATTATCATCGTAAGTATAAACTTTTAGGGAGAATATTAATGAGGGTATGATCCAGTAACCATTTAGAAAATCTGTTCTTTGAAGATATGAATCAACGATAACATAAATGTTGCATAATAAAGGATAAATTTAAACCTTTGCACCAATTATCCCCTTATCTGTAACATATCGAGTGATGCTTACGGAGTAAAGACTTATTTTTAGCAAGGATAGTAAATTGAACATCTATAATTTTATATAGTTTCTTGAAGAGTAAAACTTTCTACGCGTAGAAGATTTTCATTGAAAGAGCATCTAAGTTTACTTCGGTAAGAGGGCCTCACAGAGTTTAAGATAAGGCTTTCAGACAAAAATGTTTAAGAAGATAATCAACATACTAGCGAAACATAATTTTGTCTATTCTATTGTTAGAGAAACACAGTAGAATCAAGTTGAGTGAAACAGCTAAAATTCCAAAAGATCACATTTTCAAATTAATTATGAAGTAGTTCATAGATGTAGCACTTCTGATTATATTTCAATTCAATGAAAAATATACCAAGTAAAAATACTTCGACAGCCTTGAGCAGAAAGTCTCACAAATACATCAAATTGTTTTGTGCGAAACAGCAACCCATAACCAAAAAAATTAATAATAAAACTAAACAATCATTAGCTCCACAACAGAAAATAAAAAAAAAATTTCAAACAAATAAAATAAATTTATGGACAATTTAGTCACTATAAAAATATTTAAGTAGCGAGATAATTTCAAACTAATTCACACTGTTCTTTTAACTTCATACTGATAATTGACTGGCTAAGAGAAAATTATTCGGTACAGCGTCAGGTTCATATAAGTACCACAAGCCAAGTGAACTAGCGCATTTAAAAGATCAAGCCTAAACAATCCCGTTCGGCCATTTCTTGGCACAGCAAAATATAGAATAATTTTTCACATGGATTAAGTAAACTGAAACACAACAAGGATATGTTAATCTAGACATGGAATAAAAAACATTTTATAAGCATTGGTTTTTCCTGGAATCAAAAATTCGCAAAAGGTGCTCAATGGCCCACAATCTTTTTGCAGGCGTAAAAAAATAAAAAATAAAAAAATAAAAAAATAAAAAAAAACTTCCTCGAATGAATTCAGAAAAAAAGGAAAAGAAAAGAAAAAATAATATCCTTTACCATTCAAACATCCCGCAGTTGTTTTTCAATAACTTAACCAGCCACAAATGCAACTTCTGTTGACAAACAACATTAAAAGCCAAATCAAATGCACTCTGAGTGACTGCTTGTTCAAGAACAACATGCCAATAAATAAACAGCCTATCAAAATACAATGAGAAGGAAACTTGCCGACATTATGCATATCAAAGAACCATAAATATAATTGAAAATATATGACATTAGAAGGCAGACAAGAATATACTTTCCATTAATTTTCAGCAAAATACATCAATAGTATCATCAAAAACAGTTTCCAATATATAAATTAGCCTAAAATTGTAATTCAGAAGTTTCCTTGTAACAAATGGAGCATGCAAGCATGTATGTCAAAAGTTTAGAAAGCAAAAAATGTAGTGTCATCTGAGCAGGAGCTAACAAAATCTTTTGTAGCTAAAACGATCAACAAAAATTCCAAATTGCGCAAGCTTATTGCTAAAATTTGATATGCCAGTGAACTTTCAGCTTGGAGATCATCAAGATGGGTGCTGGATATATTGTGTTAACTGATTAGTGAACATTTAATTGATTGAAGAAGTTAACAAAATGATAACTCTCCACTCACCGTCCTTTTATTAATTAGAACTTCAGAAGACATAGTCTAGGTTAATGAAGAATGTTTATTATTTTCTTAAGTGCTTCCAATCAAATCCTTGTCATTCATCTAGAGACAACAAGAAGCACTGGTCGTCGGATTCAGTAGTTCTGCTACTTTGAAGAAAGAAATATATTGTACAATTTGAGAGCTCTCAACAGGAAATAAATGCTATATCTAATAACAACCTTTTGATTATCAAATGATTCAAAGATTCATAATTTAAATAATTTGACAGAGCACATGAAAATGGTATTAGAACTACCTAAGAAATTTTAACAATTGGTAATACAAATGCCATGACTTGCATAAGTTATAAAATAGAATCTTATAAGTTACACAAAGTATCGCTGCAAAACTGTGACCGGACTCCCCCTGGATTGGTTAGGCTTAAACATAATATCTCTAGAACTCCATTCAAGCGAATGCACCCCCTCAAAAAAGCTGAATGTGTTAGGGAGGGACCAAACAGCTTTACTTTATTCTTCTCCAATGGATGCTCAAGAATGTATTCCGCTGTATATGTGTGGCACTGATTCAGGGGCTTGCATTAAAATACTGCTTCCAATGTGAATCTTTCGATGCTGATTTACACAGACCAGCCCTTGAACACATAGGCGGTCGCTAGCCTTAGTTTCCAACAGAACCAAAAAACCTTATATAACTATGTTATTCTTCGAATGAATGGAAGCATATCTTCTCAAGCCATAGTGCTGCATCCTCCCCAAGTTGCTGTGGGTTCAGCTTCATTGCCATTGTAAAATCCTGCTGAGTTATCAAGCAGCATTTCCTCTCCTGCAAATCCAAAGGGCTACTACCATGCATATGCATGGAGCTGTCCAACCAAATACCATTTACAGGCTTTTCATGAGTCTTATGCTTCGGTGTTGGCTCCTTTATTATCTCGGGACCTACCCTTGCACGTACTAACTCAATGGATGATTTAATCAGCTGCTTCAAATAAACATCCAAGCTATGATTCAATAAATTAGCAGAGTCCAATGAAACTCCTCCAAGTCCTTGTCTTTCTGCAAAACTTTCCATTCTTTTTCTCAAATCGTCTGTATGGCACAGTTCACCACTATCTGCCAAACTGCATAAATTACCAATACCAGTACTTCCTCTTGGTGGAAGAGACCTTTTTGCCCTACCCAATCCTGCGGGACGAAATGGAATCCCAAGAGGAGCTTTAAGGGGACCATGGCTTAGCTTCAGATAATTTTTCGGTTTTATAAAGTCTCCATCTTCACCCAAACTAACTTCATCAATCTCACTGCCATCAAGACGATGTCTCTTCACAGGCTGCTCAGCCTGCTCACCATCTAGGCCTTCACGAAGTCTCTTCAAATCATGGTAACCCAAGTCACCATTCTCTAGAATAGGAACATCCGCCCTTTCATTGAGTCCGAGCTTGCTTCTCTGAGTAACAGACCTTCGCCTCCTTGGAGACTGTGGTAGAACTTCCCCATTGGACCATGTGAGCGGATAAGGGGGTGGTTTCAACCCATCTTCCCTTTGCAAGGGTCTCTTTAGTGGAGGTGGGGTCTTAGCCTGATAAGCATTCTTGATCACAGATTGGATAAGCTGGTTGTGGAGGGGCACGTTCTCCCGCCCAATGGTCAAAAAGCAGAGCTTGTTAAACTCGGACTTGCTTAGCTTCAGTGACAGCAGTTGGTGGAGATAGCTTCCCGGCGGGCTCGCTCAGGCCCCAGCCGCTTGGCTAACTGAGACTTCAGCTCGCCTAGGTCTATACGGGGAGGCGGCATTGCCGGCATCAGCTGTGGCATACTTCAGTGAGTAACAGCCATACCAACACTGGGAAGGAAGTAGCAACTCACAGGATCAGTGAAATTGAGTTTCCCCGCTCATAGCGACGTTATTCCCACTAAGAATTAGAACGTGCACGGACTCATACGGAGAGCCATAACTTCTATCCCAGTATCCCCATATCTCAAACAAGACAATGCAGATGCTAATCTCATTTTCCAGTTAATAGAGAACAAGCTTTTCCGTCAGGCAACTCAAAACCCTAGAGTTGGAAGTTGGAAATACAATTCTGGTGGCCGGAGCAGCGGAGGGAGCTCTCATGCTGTTACAGAATCAGAGAAGAAGAACAATTTAGAGATCTTCAAACAGGATTGCCATACAAGTATCCAGTCGAAGTTAGTTGGATCTAGCCGGAATCGCCGGCAGGCGGCAGGATTGAGTAACACAAGTAGAAAAAAACAGAAAACAGAGAAGGTCAAAGATAAACAAGAACCAAGCCCAACCTCTCGAAGCCTGAAACCGCTATAGGGTTCCTCAAATCGAAGCTGGCCGCCGTCGAGTTGAACTTCGATAGTCGCTTCCCAGCCCTGTACAATCTCTCTCTTCTCGAACTTGCTTAATACAGTCGCAAAGCTCTCTCTCTCTCTCTAGCCTCTGCTTCTCTGTGACCCCCTCCCCCTCTTTCTCACTCCCTCCTCGTCTTCTCCCTTTGACCTCCTTCGCCGGGAAAGAGGTTGAAATTGGGAAGTATCGCCGCCGATCGACCAAACAACTCAACTCCGTTTCCCCTTTTTTTTTCTCTCCAGCCTTATTTTATTATTTTTTTTTTTTTTTTTTTTTTGCTTTAATCACTTATTTTGCATATAACTAATTATTTATATCATCCGGTAATGATAAGTACTGCTTCCATATTTACCAAACATAAACAGATTCGAATCTAAATAAATTTAAAATTTAAAATCTAATGTTTATTTATAATCGTACTTAATTAACTTTTTAAATATCACCATGTCAATATTGCTAATTGTTATTTATTAATTATATATAATTGAAAGAAGTTTTCCTCCATGCAATTTTTTATGATGTGTTTCAATCCTTAGAATTGTTATATTTTTAATAAACAAAAATAACTAAAATCAATTAATATGATGTAGTAGGATAAGATTTCATGCATTATTATTTTCTTTTTTTTCTAAATTAATAAACCATTCAATCAAACAAGAGTTTGAAGCATTATCCTTGCAATCAAAAACTCATTCTACTAATGCACTATGCAAAGGGCTCGATGCCTATGCCCCAAGCTATGGGCACATATGCGCTCACCTACACAGAGGTAGAGCAGAGGTAGAGCGTATGGCGGTTATGCGCGAGCAAAAGATGCTTAGGCAACCATTAAAAGAGCTTAGGGCACTCCAACGCCTTTTCTTCTACAATTTTACGCTAAAGTTGGTTCCAAGTGGTTCGGGAGAAGAGGAAGTTTAGTGGATATAAATGAACTTTACTAAAATGCGTCCAAATCTAAGCATATAACTTGACATCCTATAAGAACTACTGAAGTATTTTATGTTTCTAGAAGTAATGTAAGAATCTAATCTTAGTTTTTAAAGTAATAATGAAAGGGGTGGTGCACAATTAAAATGGAGGCTCCTAAAAAGATATTATTTTTGTAAAAAATAAGAGAATGGGAATATTTTAGTGAACTAATGAATTAAAAGAGTTGTATGCACTAAAAAGATGTATTTTAGAAAAAAAAACCTAAGAGTCTTTTTTTGTTAATGAGTCTTTGATTATCTCTTCCTTATATTCTTATTACATTTCTCTTTAGTTTTCCTCCTTTGAATAGGAGAAGACAACTTATTCTTTCTCCTTAGTAGTGAAATCAAATAAGATGATAAATAATGTTGATGGATGAGGTGAGTGGAGATAAAGATGGGATGCTAAACTTGGTTTATAGAGTTTGGAACCGTCTCAGTTAAATTTATCTAGATTTTTCTTGAATTAAATAAAAATATACGACAGAACCTAAACCATAAACTTTAAGCCTTTTAAAATGAAAAATATTCTAGGCTTTTTGATAATTAAATAAATGAGATGACATGTTAAGTTTTTATTTGTATAAAAAAAACAAATATATAATACTAAATTAAATAAAAAAAGAAACTAATTATCTCATTATTTAAGTAGCCACCCTTAAATTATAGCCTCTTGAAAAGAGTATAACAATACCTTATTTTCTCATTTGAGAGAAAATAATCAAATTTTTTTCTTTCTATGATCAACTTACATTCCATTAAAGAGGAATGAATTTTAATAATGATACATTATCTTTTCCTATCATCTTTTGAACTAACAAACAATATAAGTTTTTTAGATCTTAAAATGTTTTGCTCCTCACTTACGCAACCAAGTTTGTTAAACATGAAATAATTCATACTTCATGTGCTTGGAGCCTCTTTATCACATTGATGATTTTTGAAAGAAAATGTCTCCAATATATGAGTAGACACAAATTCTCTTGATGCAATATATCACAAGCCCACTACGAGATCCATGATAAAAATGATTCACGTAGTTTAGTCATTGTTTTTTCTGTTTTGTAATTTGGAAATGCTTGAATTTTAAATTGGTTGTCTTTTTATATTTATTTTAATTTTTTGCAACATTTATGACATTTGTAGCATAGAAATGATTTTGCATAGATATTAGACTTCCAAATCATCAAATTGAATGTCCATATTATTACTAGATTATAGATTAAAATCATGATTATTTCTAAGAAAAATCTCCATAGAATAATCTTGGGCAAACAATCTTTCATAATTAAAGAAAAAATTTTCCAAAAAATGAGATCAAATAATGAAGGTCCAATTACAAATCACTTGATGAATATTGCCAAGGACCTTCTCCAATATTCAAGGAGGTCAAAATTTAAGTCAACGATGAAAAGAAAGTGAAAGTCCCACCTGCACATGCAATCTATATATATAATCGCCCATCCCATTTCATTGAATCATATGAACACTTTTCATTTTATCTTGAGTTTTACAAATTGACTTTATATATGAAATCCATTTAATTGGTATATATATAAATGAAATCATATAATATGTTGGATAAATTATCAATCTAATAAATTGATTTAGACTTGAACTAATTATACCATTAAAATATGCAAATATATGAGATACTATATACATAAAGTTTATAAGCAAGTATAAAGAGTGACCAAGTATTTTAGTGTGATATAACTTATTACAGTTATTATTTATATGTTTGTAGTTCTATGTTATCCTAAAAATGGTATTACAAAGGTCTATGTATTTTCATGCAAGAGAATTAATGATGTCTAACTTAAAAATTTAATTAAAATTAAAATCATGTGAAAATTAAAAAAAATATATATCATGCTCTCAAAAAATAAATTATTTTATCTCATACGAAGAACTAAATCTTGATTTTAAATTCTAAATGAGATAATTTGTAAAAAAGGTATATGTATTTTCATGCGAGAGAATTAATGATCTCTAATTGAAAAATGTAATTAAAATTAAAATTATATGAAAATTAAAAAAAAATTATATCATGCTCTAAAAAATAATTTATTTTATGTTTTATGGAGAACTAAATCATGATTCTAAATTCTATAATCTATGTTATATGGAGTTCATTTTTTAAACTAAGCATTTTAAACAAAGAGTTATTAGTGTAATTAATGAAAGATATGAAGAATAACTATATGCTACTAAAATATTTTAAAATAAAGTAACTATCCTAAATTAATTAATATACAATTTAAAATCAAGTTTATGATAAAGAAACAAAACCAAAATTTTATATGATCATGAATAATACATAAAAATTGGAAATGACAAACATTCTAAAACAAATAAAATTTTTCTAAAAGTGATATTATAAAATTATAACTTTTAACCTCAAAAAAAGTTTTATGCCATAATTCAAATATTTAAACATAATTCATTAAATCTCTAGCAAGAATAATTTAAACATTTAAATTAATCTAATAACTAAATAATATTAAAAAAATTATCTTATCTAGCGACTTATATTATTAGATTTGCACATATAATTTGACATAATCTAATATTAATTTTTTATACATCAAACCATTACCAATCTATCTTCATCATCCCCCCTTGAAGTTAAACCTACAAACATAAACCTACTTCTTAATATTGGTACCTTAATATTATCCATAGGTGAACCTTGCTTAAAAGGTTGGCCACCAAAACTAAAGAAAAAAAAGGTGGTAGTGGAGTTTTATTATGTTATCAATAAGTACATCATTTGAGTACTTATAATTTGATAATCCTATCCTTCCTCCAAACCCTTTATTATATAGCCTAGGCTAGATATTTGGCTATAGTAATTAGTAATTCATGATTAATCTTATGATTTCTTTCACATTTAATTATGAGGAGAAAAGTATACCTTGTAAATATAGGGATATTAGAGGGACTGTGAGAGTGAAGTTAATGTTCGTATAAATAAAATTAGAGTGTGAGCATCTTAAAGAGCACAAAGGAGAAAAAAAAAGTCAAAGAGTTTTATTTTCAATTAAACATAATTTATTCTCTACAACTATTTATTTTTTATGAATTCTAGATTAGAAGTTTCTTTTGTTTGTATTTTTGTTAGCGAAAGCATGAACTACTTGTGTTCAACTTTGGGTTTATGGTTATGTTCTAGTTTGTTTCCTAATTTTAATTTGAGTTATGCATTAAACATTAAATGATTGTTCAATTTAATTTGTTTTTCATTGAGTTTATGTACAAGACATGCAATCTTTAAATCTAATGTGATATAATAATATTGATGGGGTCTTGGAAGAATAAATAGAAGTAAATTGATAAATTTTTTTTAACTAAGAAAAACATCAAAGGGAAATCTAATATTTGAAGCATATATATCTAAACTTATTAGGAATTCCATAGAGGAAGAGAATTACAAGATTTTGATAGAAAAGAATAAAATTGAAAAT